GGTGAGAGGAGGTTGAGAGGGAAAGAGGAGATGGGTGAGGATCAAAACATGGAGAACAGTAGGAGGGTGATTAAAGAGAGGAGTGTTGTCTGAAGGAGCAAGGATAGAAGTAAAGAAAGGGTGTGTTGGGTAGAAATGATTGAACCCACATATCAAATTCAGGACTGCTCGTGTTTGATGAGACAGCTGATGTCAGATGGTAGTGGTGGTGTGAATCACTACCATCTGACATCAGCAGTGTTTGTAGTATCTGGTTTTTTTTCACTGGCCAGTGGGAAAAGCTGCATTTTTTGTGGTGCTGGTGTTTTGGGGATATCTTTTCCACATCACACATCTGTTCAGCAATGGGTTTGTCTGGCTCCTCCTTCACAAAGTCTCCTGAAAACTCTGAATAACTTTATCACAGCTCATCCTTTTTCATCACTGTGAGCATGCCTGTGCTAAACTATGGGCACACTGGCTTGTCTTGATCTTTTCTCCTTTTCTCTAGGAAAGCATTATATTTCACATCAACTTCATTTTTCTTGACAGGCCCGACTTTGTCCCCCGGTGCTGGCCCCAGCGGCAGCATTGTGTTTTTCTGTTTGTGCAGTCGTCCAGTGGTCCATGCACTTTAGATTCATCTGTTCGTCCATTGATTCATCTATCCATTTTGTCATCCACTTGTTCGTCCATCCCTCTTTCATGAATGTGAAATCTTTTAACTCAAGAATTCATACACTTATCATAATAAAATGTAACTCGAATGTCTTCAAATGATAAGGTGATGACATAGTTCCACTTCACTGTGACATCTTTGTCCTCTGCAGTGGTTGGCAGAGCTAAACAAACGTGAGGCGGCAATTCTTTAATTACACAATGGTTTGATCTTTGGAATAGCAAACAAAAAGCCTTTATGTTGTTGGTTCAGACTGTGAAAGACTTAAGCTCTTATTGAGCTTTATTTTGTTCAAATTCAAAGGCAGAGCTGTTGGTGCATGTTTCAAATGTACAAGTCCTCCAAGCTACATATATAAAGTTCGGACCTTTGCTGTTATGGTAACGATAATGAGAAAACAAATATGTTTCACCCAGCACCAGCCTGGTGAAAAAAGTTTTATGGGGACAAACAGCTGTGCTTTTAAAAGCTTCAGCTCAGGTACATGTTACATCATGTTGCACAGTTGTGCAAGGGTAACTGGAGTTGGAAAACAAAAGGAACAATGGTGAAAATGTAGAACAAGCCCAACTGAAGGATATGACATAACTCACATTTATAAGAGCAGCAAGAAACGGATCTATTAATTGAGGTCTAATTTAGAGTTTTTAAAAAAAAAAATCTATTTCCACCATGGCTGGTTATTCTTCTGTCTGCTCTTATCTGCAGCCTTTTTTAAATGTCAAACTGCTCGTGTGCCCAATTCAATTTTATTTGTATGGTACCAAACATTATCTCAAGGCACAAAATTACATACACACCCAACAGATCCCACAACGAGCAAACACTTTGTGACTGTGAAGAGAGAGAAACGTTCTTTTAACAGAAAGAACTCTAGAACCAGACTCAGTGTTGGTGGCAACTTGCCTTGACTGGTTGGGGTGAGCGGAGAACAATGGGGGGAAAGAGGAGAGGTGGGTGGAAAGGAGGGGAGAGAAGATGGAGAGAAAACGGGAGACCAGGGAAGTTTTTACCTTCATAATTAAGCTCTGTCAGACAGGTTGTTATCATGACAATAATCAGAGTTACACTGATAGATGTTATGATGTTATTAATGATAGCATCAACAGTATTATTTTCATGGTTCAAATTTTTATGACTGCAGCTCTGGAGACTGAGATGCCTGCAGAATGAGAGAGAGAGTGAGAGAGAGAGAGAGAGAGAGAGAGAGAGAAGATGATCATTAGACTATGTCATACACACGTGATACAATGAGATTGTGATGTCGTTAAATCAGCCTCGATTTACCAGTAAGATTCTTTCTCCTCATTTGGTGTAAAAATTAATAACTGACCAAATCTGTCAACAAAATATCATCTTACTGTTTAGAGGGTTATGGATTCATATTTTTTTGTATCAAAATACGTTTGTGTAGTTGAAGTGAGACCTTTAAGTGATGACGTCTTAAAAATGGAAATTGATGCACGCAGCCTCTGACTGGCGTCTACTCTGTAATTTGTCCAGGCTTGTTGAGATCAGAACATTTATGATTCAGCACGAAGAGAGACTCAAAGAAGAGGAAGCACAAGATTAGAAATGTGTTGGGTTGTGGTGTTCATTTTACCATCCTAGTTTAAATCAAACTTCCGGTGGGGGGGTTCTAACTATTTAACCCAAGTAACATAAGCAGCCCCTTACAGTCAATGTAAACTTGCTACTTTCAGCCTATTTTAGGTTTTCTTTGATTGTGCACAAGAAATAAACTATGAAGCGTATCAGAGTTTTTGTACAACATTACTTTTTAATGCCACCAGATGCTTTAACTCAGATACACAAGTGTTTTGTGTCGTATTGTCATTAACAACGTTGTTCTGCAAAGCTATGAAACAACAGGTTGTTATCCCATCCACCACTGGTGTTTGTTGTAGCTCACAACTCACTCTAAGTGTGTGACTTAGTGAGGGGCTGTTTTATGTTTATTATTTAAGACTAAATTCTGCTGCTCTACACATTCAGTGGTTAGAGTTTTATTTATAGGCTACTCCTTAACAAGTTCACTAGCTTCTTTCTGATTACATTTCAAAACATATTGATTATTTATTCATATTGATTTAGAGCTCAAATGTTTGTTTACAACTTCTGAATAGGTGTCCAAGTTGTTGTCAACTAAGCTGATAACTAAATGGATTATATTGAAGTAGCTGTATAGTAGGATCATGCATTTGCATACCATTGCATCAATGACTTCCTGATTGTCACAGTTCATCTCTGCTTCACCACTCTGCACCTGCCTGCTTCAATCTGCCAATCAGACACACCCCTCTCATCAAGCCAATTCCACTCACCTGTGCTCTCTGCTCTGCTCTGGCTGCATTTMAGCCCCAGCTCCACTCTCACTCATTGCCAGATTGTTCTCATGCTTGCACCAGACTCTYCAGCGTTTCTCTGCCTGATCTCCCGGTTTCGACCCTGCTTCTCCCCGACCATCCTGCCTGACCGAGCTCCTGGTAATCAACTCAGCCTTCCGTCCCCGACCAAGATCCTCGCCTGTCCTTTTCAGGATTCTGCCTGTCTGCTCCCGTGGCTATCCGGTGGTTACCTGATTCTGCTCTGCATAGAGAGTGTCACTCTCGTCTCCTCTGTGGCTCTAACAATAAAGTTTGTTACCAACGATACCCGCCTGTCTTTGTGCTGCTATTGGGTCCAAACCACACCCTTTACACTGATGCATCATTTATTATTATATTAATAACAGGTACTGTAGTTGGAACTATCTTTTGACTATCTGATTTATATGAATATAACCAGCTAGATTTGTATATAAGTTTGAATGATTTACTGAGCACAATTTTCAGACCCAAATTAAATTTACTTTGAAGAAAGCTTGTTAAACAGGAAGTGATTCTGTGAATGCAGTCCCCTGGTGTAGGACATAGAAGAAGACACCTTTGACTCAGTCCGCAGACAGACAGCACTCTGCCCTGCCCCTGATGACCGCTACACATTTGCTGTTTTGTTAATATTTAGAGAGATTTATATATAATATCATTCTACTACACACTGGATGTTAAAAATGTGAGCTATTCAATCCATCACGTCTTTTTAAAAGTGGCTCCATTGTTTTCCTCTCTACCCCCGATAATGAGTAAAGGCTATTGAGAATTCTGATTTAGCACATAGAGTGCAGGATTGGATCTCAACTTAAGAAGCCTGAGTAATTATGAGCAACCATAGCTTTCGTTTCCATGGCAATGAAGGCACACGGCGTAAATAGATTTCCAGTGAGCGAGCTGATAGGCTGCAGAGCCTTACTGCTTAAAATTCCAGTGTACACCAAGATCAGCAAGGACTCCAAATGAGCACATGAGTTTCCATCAGCTGACTTGGTGGTGTGAAGTGTAAGGGAATCATTTCAATGGTGCATTTGAGATAATATTGCATTAATCAGACAAATCAAGCTCCTTTGAAATGATCAATGACCAAATGACATTCCCAGCCTCCGCTCTGATTTGTGTTTAGATGCCTGTGATATAATAACATTATCTTTGGGAGCATTTAAGCATTTAAACTAAACACAATTTTACTGCCGCTAGCTTTGCTGCGGCCTCTTCAGTTTCATAACATGATAAGCAGTCATGACTTTTTCTATGGGAGCAGATACAGCAAGTGTTTCATTTTCCACAACATCCTGCATTGTGCACAGTACAACAGGGAGCTTGTCTATAAAACTCAATATTCTTTCTTTTTTCCAGCTGTTGCCTCTGCTGCCTTTGCCTGTTTTGCAGCCATTGAGATGGTTTTGTATGTTTACTTATTGTGGGAGTGAGAGACCAATAGCTGAAATGGTCAGTAGAGCTGTGTGAGATCACAGATCCATTTGTACACCTCTTAAGTTACAGATGTCATAAGTGCAAGGACACAGTCAGCAGCGGTGAAGACAGGAAGACGGGCAGATAGATGGGGTTAACAGACCCTGCGAAAGAGTCAGAGAATCCATGCATGCAGCGAGGTGTTAATCTGTGTGTGTTTGTGTGTGAGTGTGTGTGTGCGAGCATGTGTGTGCACGCGCAAGCGTTCATGAACTCTGGTTCTTCTACAGTATGTGACATCAAGTGTCCATCCGCACTGAGATGCCCAGTTGATCCTTTGCCAAAATAACCCCCAGCTGCCCAATGCCTGTGATGCCTGTTTTCTTTTTTTCACATGAATGTCACTGAGGTTGTCTGTTGTCTAAATATGGGGGATTGGAGAGTGTGCCACACAAGGGGATGTCCATCAGGACATTGTAAGAGGGCACAAATTAAAGTTGGTTTTGATTGGCCGGCTCCGGCCTGAGGAGGGGGGCTCTTGCCCAATCCTGATCATTTTCAGTAAATGTATAGAGGGGTAAGAGTGTACTAAGCGGAGAGGAGAGTAAAAAGCGACAGTGCTACCTGGACAGTGTGGAGCGGAGATCTTATTTCCCAGACTCTTGTTTCTACCAGTGTCTGTTGTTCAGCACAGCCAGCCACCATGGTAAGAGACCGACAACTGAGAGGGAGGTAAAAGGGGCCACGAGAAGAAGGACATTTAGTTTGCTCTGTGAAGATTTGCTTTAGTTTTCCATTGATGAGGATTGAAATCCATGCGACAGAGGATGGAGAATCTTCTGCTCCCCCTCAGTCATCCGGCAGGTTTTCGCCTGCAGCATGGCTGGATTTCACTGCAAGCGATGCTTTATCTCTTGGGATTCGTGTTCTGGGAGATTAATCTTCACATTTTGACGTCATTTTTTTTTGTTTGTTATTTTTATATGACAAAAAAACAAATGATCCTAACCTGCTGTTGGAAACCTCTGTCCACATGTCCAATGTCTGTAACCCCACTTTGTTCACAGCACAATATGATTTCGTTCTGCTTTTGTGTTTCCAACTATTAGTAACTAAGCTCAATATGATTGATATTTAGATCGGAGGGGGTGATACTAAAGATAGAACGCTCACAGCTGAGTAAAGTGAGAAGACATGCTGCCGTCTCTGAGTGTCCTAAGTTAGGACATTCACCTTGAGAAAAAATCCCTCTCAAATCCTCTCCCAAGTGTCACTTTAAAATTAGCTTTAAAGAATACTGATGGGTGAGATTGTGTGACTGTCCCCAGTCCGCACAATACGGTATTGATGAAGTTCTGTCAAGTAAACAGGGAATGAATGAAAATAACTTACTGTCCTACAGAACTACTGACAAAGAATGGTTTATATAACAATTAAAGGGGATCAGCACTCAATTGAAGGAACTGTTATTTTTGTCACACTTTGTATTACTCTGTAATGTTTCTAAGAAAACTGAAGAAGTACTTGGCACAAGACCCAATGAATACATATACATTGTCGAGAAGTATTCCTATTACATGTAAAGTATGATCTATGTGATGTTCATTAAGTCTGGATCAAATCAAGAAGCCAACAGGTTGAAGTCTAGATGGTTGGTCCATTCTTGAAAAGTAGAATTCAACCAAACCAGTATCAGTATGAAACCTCAACTGTTTAACTGGTGACCAGAAAGTCTTAAATGTGTAATGAGTGAGTTTTATATTGAGCTGCGTTCCCCTTTAAGAACCATTATTAGCCGGTGCAGACAGCTGGCGGGGATTAAACATGACTTCTTACCTGACCTATAACACTATTTCAAGTCCTTGGCGGTCACTTAGTCAACAATACCTCTGGCTTTAGTTTTCTCTTTTGGGAGGAGGGATCATACCAGTGTTTCAGTGCACTACAGCATGCAAAAACATACATGTTTTATTATGTATTACTGCATAGTATACTTTGTATAATGATTATTGAAAGCACACTGAAAGAATTTTATTTTTGTAAGTCTGCTACATTTCCACATCATTATACGTGTGGCCAGTAGTTATTGCTACATTATTCCATTAGAACTAGGTAGGTATTGCTACACTATTATATGGGTACTCAATAGTCATTGATACATTATTAGACAAGCACTAAGTACTCGTTTATAAAACGTTATTGCTACGTTATTACATCAGCACTCTGCATCATTACATGAGCACTCTGCAGTCATTTCTACATTGTTCCATTAGCACTCATTATTACACAAGTGCTCATTTCAAATAGATCGTATAACATTAATATATTCATTATGCATTTCTATAATCTATTAACATCGAACATCTGTTAATACAAGTACCTGTCAAAGTACTCAAAACTGCTGTGCAGCTGCAGGTGTACTGTTTATGGCTGATAAGAGAGATTAACTTATCTCTCTTTCCATGTCCCCTCTCGTCTTTCCATCTCTGCCTTTCACACCTTTTTCCATTTCCTTGTCTTAAGCCCACTGACGCCCAAAGCGATGCCCGCTCCTTCCTGACGGAGGAAATGATTGCAGGTCAGTCGTTCTCTGTCCACTCTATTTCATGAATGAGTCAGAGTAATACCTGAGGGTCCTCTTCTGGTTGTCGTCAACCTTCAGATTTTTGTAAAGAATCATGATGAAGTCAGTGAAACTGAATATGCAGTTGAAAATTATATCAAGATATTCTGAGCTTCCCAAATGTAACATTTGAGGACAAGAAATCATTTTTATTCTCTGATTCTGTATTGCCAGTTAAAGCTGACACTTTCTGAGTTGGAACAATTTCTTTGTGCCTCTCAGAGTTCAAGGCTGCCTTCGACATGTTCGACACAGACGGTGGCGGTGACATCAGCACAAAGGAGTTGGGAACCGTGATGAGGATGCTGGGCCAGAACCCCTCAAGGGAGGAGCTGGACGCCATCATTGAGGAGGTGGATGAGGATGGTGAGGTCATTGTGTGATCTCACTAATCTAACTTAACGCAAAGACTCTAAGGATGATTAAAAGGATCACACAGCTCACTCATCTTTTGAAGCAGAGAAGAGGCCAATCTCTACTGAAAGCAATTTAGTGTTGGTCCCCAATGCACTGACATTTGGAAAATTGCATAAAATAATTTAATTCTTATCTGGATAAATATTTATCACAGAGTGGATCTGCATATGCACAGAAAAGGGTATTAAGCCAAACACAGTCCTTGTAAGCGATGACTAGATCCAATGTATATTTAACAGTACTTTCCAACACAAAGACATGCAGATTAGGGTTAGATCATTTGGAAACTCAAAATAGATGTGACTGTGTTGGCCCTGGTGTTACACCGAAGTCCAGGGAACACCTCTGGCCCAGAAACCCCGGCTGACACTGGTAAATGAGAGATAAGATCTTTTCCTTATTCAGGATTTAAATCTGTTCTCTCCTCTATTTCTGTATCGCGAACACACCATTTAAAAAGTTTCAATGTATTTTGGATTCCACATGATTTCAGCATAAATTATCAATGTGAGGTTTAACACTGGGTTATTTCTCTCTTTATTGAGCTTCTTCTCTTCTCATCATCAGTGGGGACTTGTAGAGGGATATGAGAACTGATTCAAAATTCTAGTTCCATTATACTCATCATACAGCCAAAACAGCAGAGGAGTTGTGTTGTGAGTCTGTGTGGGATAAACCCTGTCTCTAAAGGGATGAGGTCAGATTAAAATGTGTTTTGTCTGCAGGCCAGTACAGTTGTAAACTTGTCATCCAAATTAAAAACACTTAGCTTTCAAAAGACCCCCATTCTTTTTCGTCTATTTATCATTTGGGAATGACTGAGAAAACTGCCTCTCTCCAAGAGGGCGGAATTAAAAAAATGTTTCGAGGTGGACCACATCATGTTGCCTCCTCCGTCTTCTGATGTCCCCCCTCCTCACTCATGTACCTCCCCTCTCCTCAGGCAGCGGCACCATTGACTTCGAGGAGTTCCTGGTCATGATGGTGCAACAATTAAAGGAGGACCAGGCTGGGAAGAGTGAAGAGGAGCTCTCTGAATGCTTCCGTATTTTTGACAAGTATGACATTTACTTAGCACTGTGGCTACACTAAAGACTCAATAGATTAGAATAAATTACAATTACAAAAAGGGAACTTTTGATGGTGCACAGAAATATTTCACAATTTTAATTAGCAAATATTATTGTAATTGGAAACCAAAGGTATGTGTGGGCACAGGATCTAATAACTTTCTGTTGAACGTCTCTTTATTATTAACAAGCAAAGAAATAAATACATTCTACACAAAAAAATCATCTGTATTTTAGAGCAAGAACAAGCCAGTCTGTCAAAAATGATTGAGCTACAGAAAAGACAAAAATGCCATGCACTAAATTAATTTGATTTGTATTAATATCATAACAAACATTATCTCAAGGCACGTTTTATGGTAAGAGCGAGACCTTAAAAATGATAGAGGAACCCAACAGTTCCCACAATGAGCAAGCATCTTAACAATGTGTGGAGTATCATGTTACCAAATGACTGAACTGTCCAGGGTTTGACTTCTGGCTCTAGGGACATTGTTTTGTGTCATGCTTCCCTCCCTCTGCCCTTGTTCCATGTCTTTCTCACTGTCAACCATCAAATTACGTACGGAAGACTTGAAAGACAAGTGAGACTGCTTTTTCTTGTCTTTTTTTTTCTGTCATACTCATCATGGACACAAGAGGCTGAAGCAATTGTGTTTTTTCTTCCAAGATAATTTGAATGCAATCTAACACAAGGTACAAACACTGAACTGCCACAACATTCGTTCATGCTGATTGATTTTCATGTCGTGGCGCTGTTGTCTAAAACTCTGGCCTGTTTTTAGAGCTGGGATTCATAGTGAGTATTTTGTAGGTTTGATTAATTTACATGACTTCATGGCCTTATTAAGTCAAAATTACACATGTCCTTAAAATGTTGTGACTGATCAGTGTATCCTCTGCA